CACACACACACACACACACACACACACACACACACAGGGTGTGTTGTCAGATAAACTGGGTGTTTTCTGATGAAACAGCAAAAAGAGTTTCCACTGAATCTGACTGAAGCTGATAGAGACACACACACACACACACACACACACACACACACACACACACACACACACACACACACACACTGCTGTATTATTACATCAGTCATTACAGAGAAGTTAGTTTGAATTCAGCAGGACGACAAACTGGAGGAACTCAGAATCCTCTTGACAGATGAATAAAGCTAAACTACAGATCAGAGAGTTGAGGCACCGTCTGATGAGCAGCAGGAGACACGTTCAGAGCTCATGGTCCTTCACTGAGGTTCATGTTTCTCTGCAGCTCTGTGGAACCAGAACAACATGAAGAAGGAGAGAGAACTCCGAGACGTGACACAGTCAGGATGACAGAAACAGAATCAGCAGATGAGTCGTTGTGTAACTGATAGACCGCCGTGCTGGTTGTTCCCGTGTCCACAGGTGTTACCACAGCGACACACGTTCAACCATCTTACAACATCTACAAATGCTACAGAAACTGCCGACAATCTCTTAAGACTTCCAGAATGATTTGAAACTTCACTGGAACATTTGTCCAAAGTGACTCAGAACGGATTTCAGTCTGCTGCTGAACTTTCCTGGATTCATTTCATATTGCAGAAAAAGTTCATGTGGGTTTCAGCAAACATCCTGCAGAGTGATGAGAGACACGAGTCATATTTCATCTCATGGTTTATAGTAGATGAACATGTATGACAGGATTGAACACGCTCTCCAGATACTTCACACGTTTATCCTTCACATGATGAGTGACGTTCAGGCTGTACAGTCAGAGACGGGACTTTTCCTTCACTGATCCATCATTTCGGCGCTGTCGGACCTTTCCAAGTGTTTCCTGTAACTGTGCTGCTGCTACCTTCACTGCAGCTCCACCTGCTGGACGGACGGCAGCAGTGCGACGCGTCAAACAGCACCTGGCGTTTCCTCTGCAGGTGGAGCAGGAAGTGAGTGATCAGTGTGACGACGAAATATTCTTATTTTTAGATTTATTCACATTATTCTTTGTGGGGATGTTTGTGATGTTGATGATCTTTGACTTGAGTGCAGCTGAGCAGTGTTGCATTGTGGGTCGTTTCTATTGGCTGGTTGCTGTGAGAGTGTTCTGGTTGTGACTCTTCTAGTGTTTCAGTGTGTTTGCTGGTCTTGCTCCAGCTCCTGGAACGAGGTTTCCTTCCCCAGTAGAGTCTCACCCTCCTGCCCTCAGATGAACTGGGTGTTTTCTGAAGAGTTTCAGCTGAATCTGACTGAAGCTGATAGAGACGCCGCTGGATTATTGCATCACTCTGTTGTCATGTCACAACTTCAGAATCAGACGCTGAGTTCTCCCTGGAAAAGAACGCTTGAGTTTGATGGAAAGAGGAGGAGAGTTCAGAGGATCCTGAAGCTTCATGAAGCAGTGGCAGCAACAGATCCACTGTTTCTGGAACAAACAGCTTCAAACTCAACCACTAATGACGGTTTAATGGTGCAGCAGCCTGCGGTACACCTGTGAGAGTGAGCAGGTGGGGGAGGCTGCAGGTGGAGCAGCTCTAAGTCCTGTAAGAGGATCAGTGCACACACACACACACACACACACACACACGGTGAAGCTCAGCAGGATCAGTTCAGTTGTTCAGTTGTTGTCGGTCTGATGTGTTGAACAGAGGCATGATGGCAGCCGGCGGCAAATCAACGAACCCCAAAAACACGAGTGAGCTCTGAACCTGAGAGACGGTAAATACACAACAGCACACACAATGTGTGTTACAGCACGAGCTGCTCTGTGTTTGTCTGAGTGTGAACCTGTGTGTGGATGTGTCGTCTGAACAGGTAGAAGTTTGCACTTTATCGCTGTTCAACACTGAATCATAGTCGCTTTAATTTGACTTTTTGACAAGAATTTACAAAAAACACTCTTTCATGTCAAAGTAAAAACAGATTTCTACAAAGTAATGCTGAATAATAAAAGTAGAAACAAAAATAAATGACTCTGGCAGTATCCACCTCTTCAGAGTGACTCTGGCTGAACTAGAGTTGGTGCTACAGTCAGTGAATGCATCATCTGAGGTCAGTGAATGTGTCTCAGTGATTGTAGTATAAAAACTTCTGTGACTACACAGACGAGGGAGGGAGGCGGCCAAGTGGCAGCACAGCTCCACAGAGATGGTTTAAAGACAACAAGGTGAAGTTCTGGAGGCCCGGTCAGAGTCCAGACCTCAGTCCAGCTGAGAATTAGAGTCTGGACCTGAACAGTTCTGTTCATCATGATCCCTGTGGAACCTGACAGAGTCTGAAC